TATAAGATATGACAAAATAATAATTTATAAATTATCAAGGGCTCATGAGGGAGGGGGGAGTAGGGAGGAAGGGGGAAAAATGAGGAGCTGATGCCAAAGGCTTAAGTAGAGAGCAAATGTTTTGAGAACGATGAGGGCAAAGAATGTACAAATGCGCTTTTCACAATTGATGTATGTATGGATTATGATAAGAGTTATCTGAGCCCCTAATAAAAATGATTAAAAAATTTAAAAAGTAAAATTCCATCAAAAATATCACCAATGAAAGCACCTTAAAGATAATGAAATCAAATCCAAAATAAAATACTTTATAGTCAGCTATAACACAAAACCAAAAGCAAATCCACTGCCATGTAGTTCGATTCCAATTCACAGCAACCCAACATAGGGTTAACAAGACTACATCTCTATGGACGAAGACCTCATCTTTCTCCAGTAAGTGGCTAGTAAGTTTGAACTGCCTTTAGCAGCCCAAGGCCTAATCCATGGTGACAACAGGGGTCCTTAATCAGATACAAAGCATTATTTAACCATCTAGCTTATTATAAGGAATAGTAGCATATCGGTATGTGCTGTGAGAAATAATATAAAATGTTGGTTTCTGGGTATATATAATTTCAGTTTTTTCTATTACATAAAAATTATTTTTAAAGCATGTGTTATGCATATTGCTTTTTAAAAAAATACATATTGCTTTTAACTTCAGTTTTTCACTCAACAATATATTTTGAAGATTTCCCCAAGTCATAAGCTTGCATGTGTATCATATCATTCTTAAAGGTTGCATCTTATTCATCTGCATGGGCTTGCCCTAATTTATTTACTGAATACTCTTATTGTTGGACATGTGTGCTTTCTTCTTTTTCACTTTTAAACCCACACTGAAGCAAGTGTTTTTTGCATATTTGCTCAATTTGTTTTCTTAGGAGAAAACGCTTAAGTGGAATTTCTGCATCAAATAGTATGCTTTGTAAAGCTTTCAATCCGTATTTTACAGTCATGTTTCAAAAAGGAAGCCATAAAGCTGCATATCATTTCAAATTAAACAGGAGCACTAAGATGCAAGCTACTTAAAAAAAAGATGTGATGATTCCCAACCCCCTCCCTCAGGTTCTGCTTCTACTTCAAAATGCTGGCTATTCAGTGAACTAATGTGAATAGGTATTTAGGTGGTGATGTAAAGGCTATTTTAAAATCTGTTCTCATACCATTTTAATAAGATGAAATAAATTTCTGCATATACTAAAAATAGTTTGCCATTCTGAAACTCAATGCCTGTTTGTCAGAACAATATCACTGATACATATTCTGCATATTCTTTCTCCAAATATAGAAGCTACCAGAAATTTGAAAGAATGTTATCTTTTTAGTATGTGTATGATTCTTTCTGTATGAAAGTAACTGAAAAAATGTTTTAAAACTTCCTTTTGTTCTATGACATTGTAAAAAAAGTAAACAGAATAAACTACATTGAACAAACTACATTTACAATTATAGACAGACATTTATTATAAAATACAAGCAGATTCTACAAATTACTTTAAAAAATCAAGATGTCAAACATTCAAAGATATTAAATATAACCAGAAACTGTTCCAATTTTTTACCCATTAAGCTGTTTCATAAGAGATTTACATTGTGTTTGATTAAAATTTTGAGATGGAAGCTGAAAGCGACACACAGAGATTGCAGAAAATCTGTAATACGTAGAGAAACTAATCAAGCACTAACTTTAAAAAATTTATAGGCATACACCAATTTAAAATAAATTTTCCAATTAATAGATCCTTTATAAAACACAAGTCCAACTATTTTGTATATCCCCTAGTATTGTCAGTGGATTGCTATTTTAAAAGCTACAAATAAACTGATGGTTAAAACAGAATGACCTTGAAAATGGAACCTAGTTTTCATTATTCAAAAATGTTGTCAAAATCCATAGAAAAATCAGAGAACTAACCTTTTGAGAGCTTTGTATCTCCAACCACTTTGGTTAGATGCCCCTCGACGATCAGCTTCTCTGCCAAAGAAAATAAAATGTTACTCTCCAAGGCCAAACTGAGCAGCGTTCCCCAGCAGGGCAGTGTAGCACATTCCATGACCAAATTTAAAACTATTAACATTGCTCCTATTACCAGGCTTGAACCTAGGAGGGGAACAGAAAGAACTCTTGGACTTTAGTAGAACAATCAGATTAAAGCAGGAGAACAACTTGGAAATAGAAGTTTTGCCTTTACTTTTAATTAATTTTTGCTTTATTAGAAGATTTGATGATTCAAAATCAACATTCTTTAAATCAAGGATATTAAAAGTTTAAATAAAGGAATTCTGGAAGTTATTTTATTTAAATAAAGTAGCAGATTTTATGTTACACTAATAGTTTACTTTCCCCTAATGATAAATTCATCAGAGAGGCCTTAATATTTCAGGAAGAAAATCATTTTAGAATAAAAATTAAAGAAAAAAATTTTCTTTTGTGTTTTATGGGAGATTCTCTGTAAATGTATAACACAACTTTTGAAAATAATTTGAATTCAGATTTTCATATTCTACATCTCCAAGAGGAGATAATGTATCCTTTTTTCTTAATCCCTCAATTCTGAATGTCAGTTTCCTTCAATGTCTATTTTTGCACTATGAAAAATAATTCTTTATTCTCGCATTCTTCAACAAACTGCAATTTGGTCCACACTAACTATTGAGTCAAAAGCACTTTAAAATCACCACAACCACCTATCAGCCAAAGCCTATGGCTCCTTTTCATAATTTTTAATCCTATTCTATTTTATTGAACACACTATCACTAATACAAGGAACCTTGGTGGCACAGTGGTTAAGCACTTGACTGCTAACTTTGAGGTGATTGGTTTGAACCCATCAGCAGCTCAACAAGATAAAAAATTGGCAATCTGCTTCTATATGATTTACATCTTTAGAACTCCTACGGGGGCATTTCCACTCTGTCCCGTCAGTTGCTGTAAATCTGAGTAGACCCAATGGTGGTGTGTTTTTATAACAAATACAATGTGGGACCCCTCTGTTTCTCTCTGGAAGTTTTTAGAATTTTCATCCATGGTGTTTTAAAAATCAGTGTACGTGATTTTTGCTTTAAACTCAAGTGAGATGTATGCACAGCACTAAATATCAACCATTTAAAAGTGAGCGGTGATTTAGTACATTCACAATGTTGTGCAACTACCGCCTCTATCGAGTTCCAAGACTTTTCATCCCATAAATGGAAACGTGTACCATTCGCAGCCACTCCCCATTCCTTCCTCTACACTGCCCCTGGCAACCACTTATCTGCTGCTGTTTGTCTGGATGGATTTACCTATTCTGCATGTTTCTGAAGTGAAATCATACAATACATGGATATTTTCATTTTGTTTTGCTTATTAGTGTGTGGTCTACAAAAAGTGTTTGAGAAGGACTAACCAAGTTTACAGAAAAATTCCACCAGTATATTTTAATTCCATCTTTTCAGGAAGTTCTTGAAGCCCCATTCATTTATTGTGCTAACCACTCAGTCCATCCTTTCAGTTTAGAAGCGCATTTCTGGGGAATTATCTGCTATTTTATTAATAAATTCTTATTTTCTTCCCCCCAACCCTTTTTCTTCTCTACCTTTTCTCTCCCTATTTCTCCCATCTCTGGAACTCTTATTATTCAGATGGTAGGTCTCAAGGATTAATCTAACTTTCTAACATTTCCCCTTAAAACAAAACAAACAAAAATTCCTGGTTTTTTATTATATTTTCCATAATATTCCCTCTACTGCCTCTTCTAATAGCATGATTTTTAAAAACTTTATATTGTGAATTGGGGAAAGGTTTTCAGAGCAGATCATCAATTTCACCTTCAACAATTCATACACATTTTGTTTCATCTCACACATTACAATCCCCTCAATGTATCATCACTTAATACCTTTCCTCCTTGTGTTTCCTGTTTCTATTCCTCCTTTCCTAAACCTAGTGCAGTGGCTCTCAATCTTCCTAATGCCGAGACCCTTTAATACAGTTTCTTATGTTGTGGTAACCCCCCAACCATAAAATTATTTTTGTTGCTGGTTCATAACTGTCATTTTGCTACTGTTATGAATCATAATGTAAATATCTGATATGCAGGATTCATTGCTACAAATTGAACATAATAAAAGCATAATGATTAATCACAAAATAATATGCAATTAATATATTGCGAAATATTTTTTATAATGACAAATAAAATTTAGTCTTGAAGCATGGTGTAGCATGAGTGACAGTGTTCATGGTGGGTACTCATATATGGATGTTTATCTGCATGTGGGCAGATCCACCTGGAGACAGATAAAGGAGTGGTATCTCGGTTCCCAAGACCATCGGAAATATGTTTTCCAAAGGTCTTTGGTGATCCCTATGAAAGGGTCGTTCAACCCCCAAAGGGGTCATGACCCACAGGTTGAGAGCCACTGTTGTAAGGTGTGTGTACCCCACTAGAGTTACCCTCCAGATTTGAAGGGTGACTAAGGGATATAGTTTCTGGGGTTTCTGGGGTCTCTATCAGAGAAGTACACATAATCTTATGAATTTGGGATTGTTCCACATTTTTCTCTCACTCTCCACAGTTTTCCAAAGTGATCCCTTTTGTAGTAGTTGGTAGTGGTAGTTGGGCACCATCTAGTTCTTCTAGTCTCAGGGCTGTGGAGACTGATGTTTGCATGGTTCATTAGTTCACTGGACTGTTTCCAGGTGTCTTTGGTTTCTGTTACTTTCACAGCACTCTTCTTTCCTCCAGACAGGGAGAGACCAATAGACACCTTAGATAGTGGCTCATAGTTTTTAAAACTCCAGTAGAAAGAACATTATCTGTGGACTATGGTATGCCCATTGAGGCTGGTATCTCCCAAGACTATGGTCCTAGCCCCCGAGCCAGAGACACATTCCTTCAAGGTGTTTAGTAATGTCTAATAAGTTTTTGAGCTTTATCCTCTATATATTCTACCATATTCATGAATTTATTTGCAGCAAAGGAGGATATCCTTATAAAAATATCCTGTCAAACCTATATATCTTTGAGTATACTTCTATTCTCCCATATCCATTTAGTCTATGTGTCTATCCATGCATCTACTCATAGTTCAGTTACTGCAGGACTATGCATGTAACAGCATTTACCCCTGTGGCCTTTAATAGTTGCACTTGTTCCAGTGTCTTCCCCTGCTGCCTTAATTGTTGTTGTTTAGCCATCTTCCTCTCATCGTATGTTGCCGGCCCTTTCACCCTCTACTCTCTAGCTGAGCCCTGGTGGCACGGCATACTGGGTTACCCATGGTCAGCAATTTAAATCCACTAGTCACTCCTCAGGAGAAAAATGAGATTTTCAAGATTTACAGTCTTAGAAACCCAAGGGGCAATTCCACTCCGTTCTAAAAGGTCACTATGAATTGAAATCAACTCAATGGCCCCAAGTTTGATTTTGGTTTGGTTTGGTTTCCTTAGTCGGTCACTTCCCCGCTGTTCCCCTTCCAACTCTAGGAACCAACAAAAAATGCTTTGCTTTTTATGTGAAAATCTTTTCTTCACTTTTTACAATAGTGGTCTCATGATATTTATCCTATTATGATTGCTTAGCATAAGGTCCTCCAGGTTTATCCACATATGTGTTCTGCAGATTCAACATTATTCTTTTTTTGGGGTATTAAATAACTATTTTTATTATTTAACATTATTGCATCTTTTTTTTAATTAAATACTTTTATTGGGGGCTCTTACAATTCTTTTCACAATCCATACATTCATCCATTGTGTCAAGCACATCTGTACACATATTGCCATCATTTTCAAAGTACTTTTTTTCTACTTAACCCTTTATATCAGCTCATTTTTTTCTCTTCACTCCCCAACCCTTCCTTCCTCACGAACCCTCAATACATTATAAATTATTATTTTCATATCTTACATTGTCTGCTGTCTCCCTTGATCCACTTTTCAGTTGTTTGTCTCCCCGGGAGGGGATTATATGTTGATCATTGTGATCAGACAATAAAAAGCTGACAATCTGTTGGGTGGCACAGTGGTAGTTTGCAGGGTGATTTTCAAATGTCAGTATCAGTGTTCACTCTTGGTCTGATCCGTTTCTTTGAAGTGAAATCTTATTATCTTTTTATTTTAAGGAATGGAAACTTGGTGACCAACAATCTGGTTCAGTACACAGATATTCACTTTCTGCCCCCTCCTTCCCCCTATCCTCCTAGTATCTCTATTCTCATTATTGGTCCTGAGGGGTTTATCTGTCCTGGATTCACTGTGTTGCAGGCTCTTATCTGCAGCAGTGTACATATCCAAGGCTACTCATTTATATACTGTCTCTGGCTGCTTTTCACTACAATAGCAGAGTAGGATAGTTCTGTAACCTTATAGCCAACAAAGCATAACATACTTTATCTGGCACTTCAAATAAAACAAGGAATTCTTTCTAAAGGCATTGGTTCTAAAAGCCTCTCCTCAGTCCACCTATATACATGTACACCTTATCCACCCATCTCAACTGAAGTGCCATCTCCCACGGGGTTGAGAATCACCCCTCTGCCATTTCCTGTCCGTCCCCTTATAGTCTTTTATTTTTCTTCAGTGTGTATACCACTAGATGATTTATTTTAAAAAATTAATTAAATCTATGTAAAAAGTGTTGAACAATACTGGTATTCTTTTTAAAAACTTCTTTTTTAGGGACACTTCAGGGAAGTAATTATTCATTTTCTCCTATTTTAATGTTCTATTTACAAAGATAATAAACCCAATAAGCAGGCATAAATATAAATGTATAAGTTAATAATTTTTCTTATAAAGCAAATGCCCAACCCAAGAAATCGAACTTTTCCATAATGCCAAAGCTCTTCAATATCCCTCTTCCTAACAAAAACACCTCCCCCTCCCACACAAAGGCGGCAATTACTCTGCCTTAATGTTGTTTAATATCTTATATTTCTTTATAGCCAGATCTTCTAAATAAGAACAACTAAATAGTTATATGTATTCT